GGGAATCCGGTCCATCGTTGCCACTACTGTTGGTGTTGGTGTTGCCCGCGATGTTTGCGTTGCTCGGATGCATGTTGCTGGAGTGGGCGGCTGGCACGAACATCTGATTGGTGAGCTTGGCGTTGCCTCCGGCGCCCAGTTCTTCCTCAACGCGAGCTAAAGGATAAGAGTGTAATACATATGTATTAATACAAGTCCTACTGATGCAGGAACAACATTATCAAGTTTGGTTTAAAGCATTTTAAGACTTTGTGAAAGGTTTTAGTTACTCAGTAATTAAGGTTTTCTGGTATTTTTATACTTTTTGTGCCTTGTAATTTAAATAAAAATGTTCTTTAAATAGAAAACAAGCTTAGCTACATGCAAATAAAGACACAGCCAGCAATATATAATTAGCAACCATGTATGTATTCTATATAATTTAAAGTAATTACCATAGAATAAAAATAATTGAGCAAAATATAAGAGAAATGATTGGCCAATTTGACAATTTCCAAGATTAATCTACTTACCTTTTAGTATATTGCACTTTATATTGCCTGGCGGCAGGGCGGTGGTGCTCACATTGGCCAGCTTCACCTGGTTGTTGGGCTTCTCGTTGGCGTTCGAGAGGCGCTTCAGTGTCTCCGTGTTGTGGTCCATGTCAAAGGTCTTGTTTATGGTCACCCTGTTGGAGTGTTCGAACTCTAGTCAAAATATCACATAAAATGGACGCTGTTTACGCTACCTGATACTGTTAGCATCGTTAATGGCTTCGTTTGCTAGCACTGATGGGGATGGATCTTTGACAATGGACTTAAGCAATGAGTCTAGCTCCCTATCTTTATCCGACAAGCCGCTCTTAACACTGCACAAAGGTGAACACACACAGAGAGAGAGACAGGTGAGAAACACACAAAAACACAGGCGCATTAGTCAATCGGGAAGTCGAAGCGTAAGATACATTGACAGGTGAGCAATTCGGGAGACTTCAACATTACCTGAGCTGGCCCGAGCTAATGGAAGCCTTGCCAAAGCTGCCATGATGGGAGGAGGAGGCATTCCGGAATGGATTCGTCTCATCAAAGTTCTTGGTGGCGTTCGGTGAGTAAGGAGGCGCGTACTCCTGGTCCAACCTGAGAAGTGAAAGCCATATTTACTTAAGGAAACAAAACAATAACTAAGAACCTAAGTCTTACTTCACAGTCAATCCCGCTGCCTTGCCAATGGAGCCAATTTTGCTGTAGGCCGGGTCCTCGTTGCTAAAGTTCGACTTGAGGGAGTTGCGACCCAGGGAGGCGCAGGTGGCCGCCGCAGCCTGTGAGGAGGAACTGATGGAACCGCTGCAAGCAGCGTCCGGTTCAATGATGGCCGAGTTCTGAATGACGGTGAGCACGGAGGGCGAGGGCGTTACGGTCATAAATTGATCGGTGGATATTAGAGAGTCGAAGGGATCGTTGTTATTGTCGTGGCTCGGAGCCGGGGATGCCACATGGGTAGATACTACTGGAGGCACTGGCACGGCCGGTTGGGATGCAGCAGCGGCTGCGGCAGCTGCAGCAGCAGCACGAGCATTGACCGTGGCCACGGCAGATGCAGCGGACTCCTGGGAAGCCTTTTGCCTCTCGCGCAGCAGATGCGACTGCCGGCTGGCAAATCGCTGCGACGGACGCCTCTCAAATTGCACTGTTCTCCTGGCCCGACTCTGTTGCGTGGTCTGGAACTCGGTGCGGCCGGAATACCGGAATCGGGAGCCCATTCGGAAGAAGTTCTGGCGTGCCGAGGGACCCTTAACGGGTGCCCTTAGCCGGAAGAAGGTGTGATGCTCCACGGCGCACTTCCACAGGTGCTTGCAGGCCTTTTCGTTGTACAACCGGAAGACGAAAGTGTGCTCCTGCTCCCGGCCCTCGTCATCGTCCTCAATCACAATGAGCGTTAGTTTCTTTTTCTTGAAATCCAGCTTGCTGATCTTGGGCCAAAAGAACAGCCCGATCTTCTGATCGCGCTCAAACACGAGTATGCCAGTGGGCGTGAGACCGAGGTGATACTCGCAGCCATCCTTGCCCAGCACCGTGTGCATGTCCACGCCATACATGTCCAGCCACTTGGCCTTGTTCAGGAATGCGGTTTCCGCCTGGGCTGGCGTTAGCCCCCGGCACGTCTTGTATTCGTCAAGAATGGATATCTCCAGATCCTCCGATTGCTCGGGCACAAAACGAAACTCGGAGACGGTGGCTGCTGAGTGTACCTGGTCATCATAATCACCTAGTTCAGCTGTTAGGAGAAAGGAAATACAGTTTAAAATACATTCTCCAAGTGTTTGATAGCCAAATAGAAACCTACACTGCAATGCCAAGGCACAGAGCTCGGTGGACTTGTCATCTGGACAGTCGAGACGTCCCTCCAGAAGATCCTGCTTCAGTTGCAGGAAGAACAAATAGCGGGTGAGCTCTTCGCGGAGTGTATTCGGCTCCGACGAGTAGAACTTCACCTTTAGACGGAATGTATACGGTGGTCCGACTGTGGGAAACACGACCATTAATTAGTATTGTTATTTGTTTTTTTGGGTTAATTATATTCCCACATTTACTCACTTTTAACCTGCTTTTTGATCGGCTTGGTGGGGTCTAGCCAGTGCTTGACATGATTGGCATCCATGAACTGCAGCCCGAAGTAGTCCTTCTCGATGATGTCCAGGGCATAGAATACCTGCTCGTACAGGAAGCTGCCCAGTGCTTTTTTCTGAAAGCGCAAAGTTGAGAAAATTGATGGCGTCAGTTGGGGGGCAGGTGTAAATCAATGCGACCCTGAACTAATCACGTTCGCTTGGCGGGTTAAATTATGTGCTGATCAGCAGCAATTTGCTTATTTTATCACACGAGGTGAGGCAATGCAAGACAGACGAGTGTCTTCGTTAGGGTGGCTCAGTGTGGCTACTACGAAAAGCAGCAAAAGAAACAGATATTCGTGGTGGTGGAATGTAATTGTCAATTGTTTGGGTGTATTTTTTCCCAAGAAACTAAAGTTTGAGCTTCGTATATGACGTGTTTTTATTATATAATCATTTTATATGCACATGATATAGGTTTGGCATTCTATTTTCGGAATTGCTGAGGTTTAATTCAGATATAATCACAAGTGTCATTTATATAATATATAATATGAAAATAACTTAATGCAAACTAATCATTTTGAATGACATGTTTTAAAATAAACTAGAAAGAAAGCTAACTAAGGGAAGCCGATGTTTGTGTACCCTTACGGCAAGCAATTGGGGGTCATGATACCAAAGGTACCAAATAGGAATCTATCATAGCAAAACTAAAAATGCATTAATTCCAGATCGTAAAACAGTTTTTGGTTATGAGGCGTACAAATTGAAAATTAAAATTTTATATTTAACAAAATAAAAAATTTGTGTATATTTTAAAGAATTTTTACTATGTTACCCTTATAAAATTAAAAGCAATTAAATTATGATTTCAAATTGTATAACTTAAGTTTTTTTTGTAGACTTCTCAAAATATGTTTCATTAGCAGTGGGTCACCCTATCACGTATCTGTATCTATGTTTGCCAGTCTCGCATTAATATCAATGTTACTTTTGATAACGAAACTCGCTAAACTTGGCATTGAAAATGTTTATTTATGAAATGTATTTTGAAAGTACTATTTTCTGAAGTTATAAATTTTACTTTGACTTTTAGAAGCTTTCTTTTCCGTAACTGATTTAGTGTCTTGGCAATAGAAAGTATAAGTACAGGTTTAAATTAAAGTTTTAATAGTGATAAAATAGTAAAATATTATATTTATTATTATATTATAAAATCTTTTTACTTAAATAGCACCACTTCTTAGGATCTCTATGTACATATCTCAATCTTAGGAAAGTGGTTTTCTGATTTCCTACCCGGGATTAGCCCCTCATCTTCCCCCCTTTTAAACCAATTTGTTGACTTGTTGGTTCCGCAATTACTGCAAACGGCAGCAGTTCAAAGACATTCGTCTAATGTAATTCAATATACCCAGGAGTACTCACCGATAATTCGATGGAAAGGTCAGTGTTGTCCAGCAGAATGACGCGGCAGTCGATTTTGTTCTTGTTGACGACGATTCGTTGCGGCTTAATCTGCGAGCCGCTGGCAATGACGCCGACACCGCCGCCACCACCGCCCCCCGAGGAGCCACCCGCTCCGCCACCACCCGCACGGGTATTATCCACATAGTTGTTGCGCACCTTGCGTCGGCTCAGAAAACGCAACATTTTCGCTGCCGGGCTGCCCTCCTATTCGTGTATTCGTAATCGTATTCGAATTGATGGGCTGCCTGCCTGCCCTCTCTATTGCTGGGCTCTACGGGCACGGACTGTAGTCGTTGTGGTTGTTGTTGTTGCCAAGGTGGTTGGCTGTCGCTGGCTGCACCGATAATTCACCTGTGTGCTCACCTCTCGGCTGGGTGAAAAACAGCGCAGACATCAAGAAACCCAGCAGTACACGCACACACACACACCTGCAGGGGCATACACTACCACCACGACAACTGGTTCTGGCTAACACACGCACACACTCGCGCAGACAGACGCCCCCGTTTTGGTGGCCTCCTCCGTTTGCCGTTCGCCGTTTTTCTTCGTTTCTCCTCGTTTTTGGCCACCGGGATTGGGGAGCTGCTGCAATCAAAGTTGCTGCCAAAACTGGGCGCTCCTTGCAGCGGTTCTCCGCGGGTCCACCTTTCCACTTTTCCCCCCGAAATGGCGCTGCTAGCCAGGTCTTTTCCAACAAAAAGACCAAACGAAAACTGGCTGGCCAAACACGTTCCCGTTTCGCGAGACGTTTCTTCTGGACTACCGAACACGTTCCATTCCACTCGAAGCACTGCGTTTTCGTTGCATTTACTTTGTTTTGTTTAATTTATGCTATTTTGTTGTTATTTTGGCTAAATTAAGTGCACTTGAGTTTTTCTTAGAATGTAGAATTTCCCCCGAAGTTGTTGATATTTTTAGCAGTGTGACCGAAGCTCGGACGTTAAAATACACCTGAGAACTGTATCTTGATATACCAGAAAGTACTGAAAATAAATACTGCAAACGTACAGTTGGCAGTTTTGGAATGAGAAACGAGTTGGCAGCCCGAACTGGAACAGTTTGGCCGTTACAAAAGTTATTCGTTTCGAAATTTGATTTGAATTTTAAACTCTTAAACTTAGCTAAATAATGCGAATATTGGTGAATTAATATCGCAAAAGAGATCAAGGATGTGTGGGAAAGGCGTTTATATACTATGCTATATCTTAAACAGCTGCGAAGATAGATATTCGTTTTTATGTGATTTTTTAAGAGTTTAAAACTTAAAATTTAAATGCATAGACTTTATTAAATTTTATTAAGATTTGTAATTAGTGGTCTAGCTCTAAAAGCTGTAGGTAAAAACATTAATTCCAACAGATTTAGGTTGGCCTAATTTATTAATTTTATTGTCGTTATTTTACAATATTAATAAATATATTTTTTATTCTTTAAAAAGTATTTTAAAATTGTTGATGGTGTTATTGGTAATGTTTTTAAAATTTAAAAAATTTAATTTGATATACAATTTAGCATAGTTGCTAAGACTTTCATCTTTAACTGGCCGTATTCCTGGGCTATCTGATATATGAGTGAATATTTTCGATGATTTTAAAAAATATTTGTTTTTTTTTAATTTTGTATTTCAGTTAGGTTATTATTTTTTTAAAAAAGTTATTTTTCCTATAGCTGAAAAATATCCAATGTGGACCCGTTCAGCCCATTTTGAAAGTTATTTCTTTAGACTAGGTAACTGATAGTATATATTATTTTAATTATTTTAATTTTCTTAAAAATAACATTGCCCAAAAAAATGCTCAGAAAGTACCGCCAAAGATCCTTGTAATAAATTCATGACATTATTTTCTCAGGTTCTGATTGTTAGCCACGAATTTAATCATAAAAAGTACACTTCTTCGGGGCGTACGGATCCGGCATCCGCAGAAAACTTGTTGGCATTTGCGGTAGCGCAATTCTTTAAGTTTAGTGCGAGGAACTAAACTAGAAAGAAGTGCACAATAACTGTAAAATAGGAAACACAAGTGGGTTCCGTAGTTGCAGCCGGCATTTGCGAAATCCTTTTTATGGGCAATTTATTCCTTTATTTGTTAGTGGATTTAAGGCCGTAACAGTGTCCACTCCTGCCACCGCCTTTTCCCACCGTTTTCGCCTCCGATTTTCCACTCCCCCCGGGCCGGCGAAGCGCCTCCATTGGTAGTCGTATTTCGAGTTTAAAGGTAAATGGGAGATTTATCGCCGACGATTTCCGGTATATGTATGTGTATAGTGGGGTGCTGTGGGCTGACCGAGGGTGGCTTAACATCTTGGCTGCGGGCTCTGTTTATATCGGGGTTTTAGTGGGCCCTCGAGAGGCTTCGGTTTCGGGGCCGTGGGCTTTACAACATTTGCGAAAAGTTGAAGCCATTGAGCGCCAATTGCATGATTCATTTTCGCTTATTGGCCATTAATTTTGGCCCAGCTTCGGCAATCGTAGCCGATATCAGCTGCATTTACATTTTTATCGAATGCATTAGAGATCCCCGTACAGGCTGTAATTACCCCATTGGCCGTTATAACAAGGCGCATGATTAATTACCGCCTAATGCCGAAACCCGATCCTGTGGTCAGCAGCACTTTGTCTTATGGCGGGGGGTGGGGGCCATCCATCCATAATAACACGACAGGCGACGATGCAGGTCTGGGCTAACTTCTTAGGTGCCAGCTGTGGCAACTTGAGCCACAGCCTGTTCCGTAATTATGACAGGCGGCCAAAGACATACACATCCCATTCCCGAAGCGGCCGCCGGCCACACATCTCATATCCCAGAGTCCAGATCCCAGATTCCAGATTCCATTTACCAGATCCCCAGTTCAAGGCTCCGTCTCGATTTTCCCAGCTCCAGGGGTGTGGCAACAATTAACAAATGGCTCTCGTTGCCATCGTAGCCATTGACCAAAATAGACATGTTTGCAAAGGGTTAAGGCAGTGCGAATACAGGCATATGTATGCATGTATACAGACGCACATGCACTCGAAAATAATATGTTGACTAATTTTGAAGAGTATTCTAAAGTTAGAATAGTACTTTAAACATTTCTCGTACGCTAAATTTAGTCCCTTAATCAATCTGCTCTGGTTAAAATATAATAAAATCTAAGACCATTTTATAAGCAAGTAATTTAGTTATAATTTAAAATAATTATTAATTATTATTGCTTCTTAGAATGTCACAAGTGCTTCACATTTTATGTTTTTATAAGAATAACGATCTATACAACCAAAAAACATATATGTTTAAGACTTTATTACAATTACTTCGAGCTAAAAAGCTTATTGTTTTACTTTCCTTCAACTCTGCATAGTTTTAGGGGAGTCTTTAAATTATATTTTTAAATATATATCTTAGTTTTCTTTGTAATACATTTGACTCCTGGATTCTTGTGATATTCCTGAGTAAACTTAATATCTACACTCCGATTTCTCGCCGTGCCATATCCAGAATTTGTATTGTCTTAACGATAATGGCAAGTCGTGGGTATGTAATACGAGGTGGGCAAATATTTGTGTCCGTTTGAGTGAGTGTGTGGTAAAGGAAAGAGGTGGCGCGTTGCCTTGGTGGCCCGGCCGAGAGCGCCAGGTGCTGCTGCAGGGTGGCGCAAAGGCAAAGGTAAACTATTATATTTATATGGACGTCTGCGGATGCTGGATGCTGCTACGCTCCAACTGTCTGCGCACTTATCTGCAGTTGAGTGGAAAATAAATTCCTTTTAATTAAAACCGCAGCACAGCTTGTGATTTAAATGGCTCACGGCTCAGCAAAAGCAAAAGCAAAAGCAACAGCAGAAGTGGAACTCCCAATCCGAGTCCCAATCCGAATCCGAATCCGAATCAGAATCCGCGGAGCTGTGCAAATTTATTGGCTTCCATCCATAAATCAGCGACACTGTTTCCGACCGGCCAAAAGGTGAATTCATTTTAATTAAATAGAAAAATGTTTTGTTGTTTACTCGGCTGATGGGCGTGCTAACAAACCCTTGCCGGAGCGGAGTCGGAGTCGGACGCGAAGCCGTTGCAAAAATAAATAAATATTGGCCATCGAAAGGAGCGAAATTCATGGCCGGAGTGGAATTCGAAGTTTTTCAGTAATTGGCTACTTAAGTTCCTTCGATTGGGGACAAGGACGAGCCAGAGTAGCCAGCCAGCCAGCCAGCCGGTAGTAGTCTGGGGACGGGTGCAATAAAAAACATCCTCGTGTTGTAAAATTTTATGTGTGATTGTGTGTCGCTTTACGATATCCTGCCAGCCAGCCATCCAGCCTCTTGCTGATGCTCCTCCGGCATTCCGCCCATGACCAGGGCTCGTTACTGTCCGGAGACAGATACGCCGGAGTGGAGCGGTGCCGGGCAGAGCCAGTGGAGGCCACCGAAATGGGGGCCAAAATGGAGGCGTGGCAACAGACAGTCGCTGTGGGTGGATGGGCGACCGACATTTGTTGTCTCAGCGAAATTCTCCGGGAAAACGATGCGATTGCCGTTACCTGCTCACCTACGCCCTGGGGGAATATTTCACGGCTATTTGGCAAGTCAACAGCTTGTTTTATTTTGGCATGTAATTTTCGATGAGTATTTTTATGACAGAAAGGCGACAAAAGCCAAAATCAATTGGAAATCAATGTTGCAATAGTTTTCGGTGTCCCTTAGCTCTCATTTTCACCCCGAAAAAGGGAAATGTAATTTGGCTTAATTAATGAAAATATAAACTCATCACGTTTGTTGTTTAAATTTATATTTTCAAGTGTTTTTCTTTAATGAACAAATACTTTTTGAGTGTAAAATTCCATGTTGACTCTTGATATTTGTGAAAAACATATCCGCAGAATTTTTCCGTACTCTTATTTTTGGCTTGTAATTTTTTTAGAATTATTTCTTGTGCCAAAAAACCCAAAATCAAATGTAAATCAATGCGGTAAGCCCTTCAAATGGAATGAAAAAAAAGTGAAAGCAATTAGGCTTACATTAAGCTGGCGGCCATGAAAAATTCCCAGCTTCGTCGTGGGGTGATATTTTAAATTACGCACAATTTATTTTATTTTATATTCAATTTAAAAAGTGTCAACTTTCTTCCTCATTTCGTGCGCATTTTTGTGGGGTCTCTAGAGCGGCGGCCGGCGACCTTCTGCCCATATAAAAAGCCCATATGAAACGCATAAAAAAAGTTATTTATGCCCCGCGGTCGGTCGCTTTTGTTGCAGTGCGTTTCGGGAGCGAGTGTCCTCCGTGGATCCGTCGTGGAAATCGCTCCCCAATTTTCCTACCCCTGCCCCTCGGGCGGTGACAAAAAGCTAGAGGCCTTTTTCCGCAACTCTTTCGCCGGCCGCCAGTGGGGTCGAAAAGTTTCGCAGCATTGCAACAATTAAAAGTGGCACAAGGGTCATTCAAACAATTGCCCATTGTTGTTCGCGGGACAGGAGTCCAGGCGAAGGCGGGGGGTTTTGGGGGATTTAATTTATGCCACTAATTACTTTAAGAGCTTTGTGGCCGCTGCAATCCTGCAGATTGCGTTGCCTTGTATAAGATTTTCCACGCCATTATGTACGGCAAAGGTTCTCTCTCAGCTCTCGACTCCCGAAAATGGGGGATGGCTCTTGAGGCCAAAATAATATGCAAATTAGAATTATATTCAAACGGTTTTTTCTATGCCACTAGGTAGGCGAAACTAAGCCAAAACTTTTACAACATCTTTCGTTTTGCTTCACTGTCTGCGGCTTTGCCGCCTCAAATGACTTTTGCCAAGTTGCTGGCCCAGCTTTCGTCTCTTCTCTTCCCGAAACCCCCCCCAAAAAAAAGGAACCAAAGAAACTTCCTAAGGTTTTTCGGGCTATTTACACTCAAAGTCAGGAGTTGCTGGCCATCTGGCCATCTTTACAGGAAGTATCTACCGAAAATACTCGTGCTTTTTGA